AACTTTCACTGCCCAATTTACTTCTCGAAGCAGCGAAACGCTCTGGCCCACGAATGACCCAGTGCTAGCTTGTATGCCTTCCCTCCGATTGCCCTCCTTCATTAGACGGGTCAAGGGAAGTCAGATGCTCAGTCCTCCTGGTGGCCCCACTCTGGAGGAATCAGACATGGTTCCCCGAGTTGATTCAGCTGCTTTCGGCAGCCCCCTGGCCGATAACACTGAGGACAGACCTCCTCTCACAAATGAGAGGCATGATTTGGCATTCCCGGCATGAGCTGTGGAGCCTTCATGTTTGGCCCTTCGACAGGAGTCTTTACAGCCCCCCGCGAGTGTGACTAATAATATTTTGGAGGCTAGAGATGTCTTTACGTCCTTAAATGGTCAGCCTTTTCTGACTGGTGTGCAGCACAGAACGTGCTTCTTGTGATGCGTCATCTGTGTTAACCATACTGCAAGAACTGCTGGATAAGGGATGCACCCCTTCCATGCTCAAAGTGTATGTGGCAGCCATTGTGGTGAATCATGCTTTCATGGCTGGTCATTCAGTCAGTAAAAATTACCTTGTCATTAAGTTTCGGAGGGGAGCTCAGAGATTGAATCTGCCTCGTCCTCATACTGTGCTGACGTGGGACTTGTCTATAATCGTTAGGGCCCTACAGTTCCCCCTCTTTGAGCCGCTCCAGTCGGCTGACTTACGGCCCCTGTCGCTTAAGACTGCCCTTCTCTTGGCTTTACCGTGGGTCAAGTAGGTGACCTGCAAGCACTGTCAGTCAGGGCAGCAGGGGGTGCTCACCCTGTGGTCTGTGAGGGTCCTAATGCCCCAGTGTAGTGACGGGGACACTATACTATCAAAAAGCACTGTCTTTCGGATGAGACGTTAAACCGAGGTCCTGACTCTCTGTGGTCATTAAAAATCCCATGGCACTTCTCGTAAATAGTAGGGGTGTATCCCCGGTGTCCTGGCCTAATTGCTGCCACTGGCTCTTGTCTATCATGGCCTCCTAATAATCCCCACCCCCTCATGATTGTAAAGCACTTTGGGTGTACAGCAATACACAATAAAGTGCTATATAAATGCATCATTCATTCATTCAAATCCCTGATTCTTTCTTTTTGTATCTCTCTTTTTACTTTTGTTATTGGATCTTTTGTATGTTTAAAAAATCTAAAAAAAAAAGTCATTCCTATTATTGTTAGAACAAAATACACCAGTTTATGAATGCATTGCTCAATGCATTTCAGATTCCAACTCATGTTTGGAGTTTTTATAATTCTGAATTATGCCTAACCCTCTAATTCATTCTGTATATTGTGACATTTAAATGAATTAAAATCATTAACAGAATTAAAATCTTTCAATTATTAAACAGCACTTTCTGCTCACTTCATTTCAGCATACCGAGCTGTAATGGGTGTAATAAGGATCAGTCAAACATCTCTATAGTTCTGACGTCAGTGTGGGAATATTCTCATCCATAAAGGGATTAATCTGTCGCTGGGATGAGGATGTTTTCATTAAAGTTTGATAGAGTCTGGTTGTGACTAGGAAATGAAGTAATACATCAAAGAAAGCGCAGTGTTCGCTCTGAAGAGTGACTTTTCCATGATACACATGTGTAAGCATTTTCTTTTCTCTATTCTAGCTTGCAGTTTTCTAGTTTTAACTCATCACAGTATTCTATATTTATACAAAAAAATCCAGCTTCATTTAGTACAGTTTTCATTTTTAAAAAAATGTTTGATTTAAAAGGGAAGCAATTTTGCAAAGCAAAGCTATTTTCTCTGCCTGTGTGAAATTGGCTTAAATTTATGAGAGAGCAGATCTATCTTTTTACTCCGCTCCAGACCTTAGTATTACTTTAGCAAAACAGGTGCGTGTGAGTACATGCCTGGTTATGGTTTGGGGACAAAACAGTCTACAAAAGGTAGTTAAATCTGACAAAGCCTCCTCAACTTGAAAATCATGAAGTTTCATGAACTCAAGCAAATACTTTTTTAAGTCTAAAAATCCGGGAAAAAATGTGTGTCTAATGTTGATGTTTTGTGTTTGTGAAGTGGTGTAGGCTTCCATGAATAATCCATGCCACCCCTCCATGATTCTTTGAAGCAGCTCCTCATGTTCACAGTAACCCACAGCAGCACATCAATAACCCTTTGAGCACCAAAGCAGAGAACAAGAGCAAGATGAAAGCAGACACAACTCATTTAGATTAACAAACTAAAAAAGGAGAGGATGCACATATTTTGTTTCCTTAAACACACACATACATACAGTGGTGTAGTCTACGTGATACGCAGGTATATGGTGTATACCCACTAGGAAAGGTGAAAGATTTCCGTATACCCACTTAAAAAAGCGCGAGGATATGTAACAACATAATTTTGTAACAGAACTTTCACACGTTCATTCATAAATTCATCCCGTCCATGTTGCGAAGCACCTACTTTTTGAAAATCACGCCGTGTTTCTGTTGATGACCAGTGCTATTGCGCAAATCTTGCGCAGCATTGAATGTGAATCACTAAAGGAGATATGAAACGAAAGCAAACTCAAACTACACTCAGTGTTTTCATAAGCCTGCCCCTGAAGCTGCAGCAATGACACAAATCGCTTGAATGTTTTAATTGGCAAGGCTTAAAAAACGTGCAAATGATTATGTTTCGTGAGGACGCACCAGTGGCCCCATCGGAGCAGTGACAGATCAGTCAACTGTCCCGAGCGTCTTTCACACTGGCCTCTGGACATCAGATAGTCATTACCTGACCTGGTCATGATCAAATATGTTAGCTTTGCTTGGCGGCTGTCACAATTCACTCGGGGGGCAAGGAACGAGGAAACGAGGTATTACGTTTTATGAGGACGCACCAGTGGCCTCTGGACATCAGATAGTCACTACCTGACCTGGTCATGATCAAATATGTTAGCTTTGCTTGGCGGCATGAAGGAAAAGTATGCAATTATTTGTAAATTTAACTGTCTGAAAACGAAAGTAAATGAGGGGAGTTTAAAGATTTCTTATCCTGTGGCTCCCTTTAGTGGACTGCAGTTGTCCTCTAGAGAGGGCATTTTTGCTCAGTCAATGCAAGTCTATGGGAAATCTTTGATTTTTGATAATTATTTATAAAAAACTTTGTCTCATCAGTTAGAAAAGATATAGAAACAAACTACAGATTAGGTCCAAGGTCTCTGACGAGTTTGGTGCCTGTAGCATTAAAGCCCTAGGAGGATATACAGTAGGCTACAGCTGAAAATTATTGGTCTCAGAAGAATAAAAACTGTGTATGTGTGTGTCTACAGCAGTTAAACCCAATACAATGTTTATATCTCCTTGTTTCAGATGATGAGAGAGATGAGAACTCCTGACCAAGCTTGTGGACTGAAAGTCAGGCTAGGGAATTTAAAAACAGGCACTCTTAAATTGAAAATTGCCACCTGATAAAACCTATTCACCAGGGACCATATTCTTAAGATATATGTAACTGGCTGAGTTAAATGATTAACACTAAACAGTAAGAAATCAGTCCAGTCTCCCCAGCTGTTAATATATATATATATATATATATATGTATGTGTGTATATATACACAGAGACAGGTGCAAAATCTATACTGACAATTTTACCAAACCACAAGCAGAGATATTTTAAGATTCAAGTGTATCTGGCTCAAATATTGCATTAAACCTAACCCTATTTGGCTTGCTTTTAACAAAGAAGGGTCTCAAAGAAGAGACACAGCTTAGTGGAAGAATACAGCTGTAGTACAAGTTTTCTTCAGAAGAGTGAGGATTGAAGTAGTGAGGGTCACTGGGGCAGACTGGAAAAACTGTAAGTAAGCAGAGGATTATATAGTCTGGGTCAGTAGTTCTAAAGTATAAACTGCACAGTGTTAAGGAAAGTTACTTTTAAAATTAATTTATTATTGCATTGCGTTACTCCCTAAAAATGTAACTAATTGCGTTGCTTAGTTATTTTTTATGGAAAGTAATGCATTATGTTACTTTTGCGCTACTTTTTCCTCATCTGGGCTGGGCTTGCTTTTTTTTTTTAATGTAAAAAAAAAAAAAAGTTTTATTTTTGGCAAATGTAAACACTTTCTCACCAAAAGTGAAATGATTAAGCCTCAGGCCTCTCTGTACAGTAGAGGGCGCAGCTCAAACAAACCTTTCAGCTGTGATGCTGTTCTGGATTGCAATATTTACTTATTTATTTATTTATTTTTGTTTATTGGTATGGTTGAATTGGATCATCAAAGGTTAGCAGCAAAGGCACTGGTTAATTAAATGGGATTAAATACATGAAGGATTTTTGTTTTAAAGTTTAATTATTGCAGGTTTGCGTCAAATTCTGAGTTTGCATTTCACTGTTTGTATTCTCTTTGAGGAATACTGAATCTGTTTTTGTGCAAGTGAGATGATAAATGCATGTTCATATTTAGTCTAGATCTACAGTAGCATCATGTTCACACAGCGCACACAACGCCTCTGCACTCACTCCTGATTTCTCTCAATACGGGGACAAAAACTAGATTTGAAAAAGTAACTCAGATATTTTCTTGTAAATTAAATTTAATGCATTACTTTATAGTTACTTGAAAAAAAGTGATCTGATTGCGTAACTTGCTTTACTTGTAATGCGTTACACTGCTTCTTAATCAATCACCATTAAAATCAGATACTTTTAAGACTTTTACTCAAGTGATATCGGAATTGGTGACTTGTAACTTGTAATCGAGTCGTTTTCACTGTAAGGTATTTCTACTTTTACAGTACTTAAGTATAGTTTTTAGTTACTCTTTACACATCTGGGAACAGATAACAGACAATATAAGAGGCTGACATGTACCAGTGGTATATTGTCATTTGCTGTCACTGCCCACTTACCCAACAGGTATGTCTTAGCTCCAGGACAGCCCACTTAATGGCCAGTGCATCTTTCTTTTGTTACCGCATTGCTGCAGGGGACAGTTTATGGCTAATGAAAATCACAGGATGCTCCTTACCTCGTATTGTCTGTGAAAGGACAGCCCCAAGTCCAGTTTGTGATGTGTCTGTCTGAAGGATGAAGGGTCTGTTGAAATTACGAGGCATGTAGGCCCGTCTCTGTTTCAGAAGCCCAGTCAACACCACTCTCTCGTCCTGTTACTTCTTTTTCACGTCCGTTAGGAGGCAAGCTATTGAGGAGAAGTTAAGAATGAAATAATCAGTAGAATCTGGCCTAACCTTGCCTAGGTAAGCAGCCACACACGTTTGGTAAAGCTGCAACATTCATCAGTCTTTTGCAGGTGCAAGATGCCCCATATTGGCCAAAGGGAAGCACTCAGGAGTCACTGAATATGTTGTCTAATTCTTTGTGCACAGGGGATTGTATAGCTTTTGAAATAGATTTTGTTCAACTTCCTAAAGTCATTATAAAACCGTAAGGCATGCTCCAACTTAGTGATCATCACAATATGGATAGACCAGTGACTCAAGGACTCTTCTATAACCTGAGCTCCAGCATCTTTTGGACGGCCTCAGTGGCCAGCTGTCCTCTGGCTCTAGGTGAGCTATGTATCATGCTGTATGATATTAGTTCTTCTGGGAAGAGGTAGAAATACATCCGAAAAATGCCCCAGGAGCTCTTTCAACTGCTCTTTCTTAGTCAACATAAGCAGATTTCCTAGTAATGGCTCTGCCAGGGTCTCCGCTGCAAGGCTTGCTAACTGTGGGTTTAGTTACAGCCACCTCTTCATGAGCTTTATATGATATAGCAGCAACTCTCTTGCTTTCCCCTGAACAACTGCTCAAATTGTGTAAATTCAGTTATGGCCAGTGTTATGACCCACACAAAGATCCACAGTACACTTCTAGTTAATTTTTTTGCCTTAGTTTTATAAATTTCAATTCTCTGATTCATTTCAATACATTTGTTTGTGGAAATTAACACTTTGCCTGCCTTGTTATGTTGCATTGTATGAACAAGTTCCTTGGTTTGGTTCCTTGCCGCTGTCGCCTTTGGCTTGCTTAGTTGGGACGCTTGACTGATTGCACACTATTGGAAGAGACATCACTGAATCATCAATGAACTGACTTTAGCTGGAAAAATGACTCTTTGTTATTGTCCTCTTGCATTATTGACAAACTATTTTCCTGTTTGACACTGTAACAATCAGTTACAGAATCAGTACTGAATAAAACGCTATATAAATAAAGGTGACTTGACTTGACTAAGAACTAATTTTACTATACAAAAAAAAAAATTCCACCTCATAGCTGAAAAAGAAAGCAAGTTGCCTAAACAACTAATTTTCTTTCTTGACATCACACTGTGGTAGACATTTGCATCTGACCGCCTCCACAACAACCTCCACACTAACTTTACCGTATCACTTTCATAGCCTTCAGAATGAGCATTACATGAGAATCGCTCCCCTGTGAGTCTCACCAGGTCATGCTTCTATGTCTGTTTCACCAGGCTCTGCTCTCCATGTCTGTCTCAACAGATCAACACAACACAGATTGCAGACTAAAAAAGCCAGTCCTAGATCAACTCTTTATCTCATTACTGGTTATAGATATATGTTATAGAGAGATAGATATCAGTAATTTTTTTTTTTTCAAAGTTTCTTAGGCTGCATTTATTTGATCAAAAATACAGAAAAAAAACATATTGTGAAAAATTATTATAATTTATTTCTCTGATGAAATCTGAATTTTCATCAGCCATTGCTGGAGTCTTCAGTGCCACATGATCATTCAGAAATCATTCTAATATGCTGATTTATTATCAATGTTGGAAACAGTTGTGCTGGTTAATTTTTTTTTTATTTTTTTTTTTGGAACCTGTGACACTTCTTATTAATTTAACACATCCTTGCTGAATAAAAGTATTAATTTCTTTCCAAAAAAAAATGACTGACCCCAAATTTTGAACTTTTGAATTGTAGTGTATATTGTTACAACTCCACATTAGATGTTGGTGAGATTTGTTGTCAAAAACCTTTGTTTTATTATGGTTATTCTTAGTGTGTAAGCAATTTTAGGTTTCCATACATTTCTTTTGTAAATATTGCAATAGTGCAGTGAGTTTTTGTATGAACTAAGAGTCCCATGACAGTAGGGATGGCCCACATAGAGATCTGATCTCACCATCATTAAAGTCAGTCTGGGATCAGAGAAAGAGACTGCCTATGAACTGGAAGAATTGTGGCAACTTATCCATCTTGGAACAACTGAACAGCATCTCACACTTTATTGCTGTTGTACAGAATATCAGCCCAGCTATAACAGCTGTAGTGTAACTAAGCCACTGATATTCGGTACAACAGCACTCGTTTGATGTCACTTAAATGTATGCGCGCTTGTGCGAAAGTTCGGGAAAAGCTCATCGGTGCTCAAGGCATCTTTGCTCTTGTGCATTATTGCAGTTTGGTGTTAATGTGTGTGTGTGGGCTCAGGGCACCACTGCATTAGTGTGGCTGGGTGTTAGTGGGCGAGAGTGTGTGTGGGTGCTGCGAATTGCCAGGTTCAACAATGTGCTGTGTGGGCGAAAGAGAGAACGCTTTGAAAATGGAGTGAAGGGGTGAAATGAGACAGTGTGGAGGAGGATCAAAGAAAACACATTAATTAATAGAAAAGATAATATATGCAGCAACTGTTTCAAAGACCCCTAATCACAAACAGGGTTTATTTGTGAAGCCCTCTGTATGTTCACCAAAGATTCTGCTCTGTTACAAATCAACACATTAATGGTGAACTATAAATATGCCTCATTATCAGTTTAATAGTTGAATACACTTTTAATTTTTGACTTTGTCATGTGCTCTTACAATGCTCTTTTTGTTGCATTACTTCACTTAATAGATTAGGTCTGTTATGAATATTGATGTCCAAACCTTGCTAGCATCCAGTATGAGTATATTTTCATTTTGTGTACTTTCATCACACCATCAAATTGACACCTCACTCCTTCGAACTTCCTGTCCATCTGAGCTCCAGAACCAGCAAATACATTCGGTTGGCAAAATCTCAACAATAATTTAGAGATGAGAACTGGTACTAGCAAAAACAAAACAACATTTATATTTTTGCCTTATTTTCCAGTAAAAAAAAAAAGAATAATAAATAAATAAATTAATTAATTAATTAAAAAAGGTTGCATGTGTTTAAGCAAAATTGTTTACTTTCGCTGTTTTTGGTAATCACCTTCTACTAAATGTAGGCAATTACGGCTAATATGGCAAGCAGACTTGTTAAAATGCAAGTGGACTCCTTTTAATAGATTTGTATAACTGCTAATGAAAAGAATTTGACTACTGATCAACACAGCACAGAATGCAGACTGAAAAAAGCCAGTATCCACACAGTAAATCATTCAGCAGGAGCTAAAATATAATCTTAATCAACACAGAGGAAGAGATTTTTATTACCTGCTGATATGAAGACTGCATGTCCATGATAACCACAGCAGATGAGAGCACAGAGAGTGAGGAGAGAAACATTCATTCACTCACTCCTGCCTCGCTCTCTCTCTCTCTCTCGCTCACTAACCAACATATTATGTAAGGGATAATGTAGAAGCCGCCAGTCATAACCACACAAAATAAAACCGACAGGGTGATCAGGTCATTTATTATGCAGCTACTCATCATATAAATTAATAAATGGACACGAAATATTGAAGTTTAATTTACTTATCATGTGAGATGAAAGAGATTGTGGCATGATGCAAGAGATATGAAACCATAGAAATCATTTGCCTGTGTCAACAGTCAATTAGGTTTTAGTGTTTATTAAAAACATTTGTCCACAGAATGCCACAGCTGACCAATAAGAATCAAGTAATCTAGAGAGCCATATAATATGCAATGTGCATAATATGCGCGTGTGTGTGTTGGGTGTAAAAGGGGCTGGGGACACACATAAACACATCACACAAAACATCCACACATACATTCTCATGTCTTGTGGGGATATAAAGCGCTTCAGGACACTGATCTGCTGTTTCAGTGTGGGAATGCATGGGGAGAACTCCAGAAAACATAGCACATGGTGAATTGCTTTCAACAAATGGCTCACACCAAAGTAAAATCTCATCATCTACACAACATCATGTGATTCTAAATTCAAAAGTTCCAAATCCCATTGCTGAAAAAAATAAAAAAAATAATGCAGAAATTGCAAATATATTACAAAAAGTAATGACAAATGACACATTGAATTAAACAACATTTTGATGTAGAAAACTGAAGTAGTATTTTCTTGTAAAACATACTCCAATTATATTTGATTTATTTACAACTTTGAAAAACCTTTGCGAGTAGAGCAGTCAGTTGAACTCAAGACTAAGTTTATTTGACCTGGATCTTTTCAATGAATTCAGTGGATCCAGTTTTTGTGTGGTCTACTTTGGTGATACTTTAATGGTGCTTACAGTGGGTATAGAAAAGAATCAGCCCCCACATTAATTACATTTTGTTGCTTTGCAAAAAAGCAAATGTTTTACACAGCTGTATTTACTCAGTGCACCTTATAACATCCAACTTAAAGATATAACACCAACATGTCAGTGAGAAAAAAAAAACAGAATCAATGAATTGGATAAAAGATCACCCCCCTCCTAAAAATGACTTGTAAACCTAATCAGGTGTAGTGAATCACCTTCTCAATGGTACACAAAGCCATTTGATTTTCAACTGTGATCAGCTGTGCTCATTTTGATCAGCTCAGCATGAAAAGAGCTTTCCTGGAGCATTTCAGTCCTTGGTAGTGAATCTGAAGCAAACAATCAACTATGGGTGGCAAGACACTGTCAAAAGATCTCCGGGATAAAGTTATGAACAGGCACAAGTCAGGAGATTAACACAAAAAAAAAAAAATCAAAGGCCGTATCAATGTCTAGAAGCACAGTGAAGTCTGTTATTAAGAGGTGGAAGGTATTTGGTACAACACAGACCCTTCCTGAATCAGGAAGTCGCTCCAAACTGGATGAAAGAGCCGGAGGAAACTGATCAGAGAGGCGACCGAGAGCTACAGCAACTCTGAAGCAGCTGCAGGAGTTTATGACAAAGAGTGGTCATTGTGTGCATGTGACAATATCACAAATCCTCCACAAATGTAGCTTGTATGAGAGGGTTGCAAGAAAAAAGCCACTCCTCAAGAAAGGCCACATGCAGTCACGACTGA